TTTTACGTCATCATCTATGATTTAGAATCTATTTGTTATACATAAAGTGGAAATACGTTGCCGAAACGAACAGCAATATGAACTGTGAAGCCAGAAATCTAGCGATTTTAAATATAACGTAGATTGTAGAAAAAGCAGCAGATTTTTACTCATTCCATAAATTGAACTTCGTGCTTTTCATTCAATATTTTAATATTGTTAATGAAAAGATGTGAACGCAATATAAATAAATACAATTCGTTCAATATGGGTACAATAAAATGAAAATAAATTGAAAAGTCAAATGGAATTGAAAAATAATTCAATTTAATCTTAATATTGAATTCTAAATGATTCAAATGGATTAATGATAGTTGTACGAGTTATTTAATGTAAATAAAATTCAATACAATCCAATATAGGATGTATATTGAATTTTACATAGTAAAAACTTGAGACGAATTCAAGACAAAACTAACATTTATGCTATTTCTTTGCAAAAAACTCATTTCATTCAACGTAATTCTCAAGAATTTCCAATCAGAATGGAACATTTTATCCAAAATGTTGAATACCATCCATATTATAGGACTCAAAATTAGGGTGGTGGCATTGTCTTACTATTTTTGCTTCTTCTTTTTTCATGAACTGAACATGTCTACGTAAATCGCACTCATTCAAAAAATGTTTCTTTAATATGACATCGCCCATCAGTGAAGAAGAGTTAAAACAGTTTGTAGCGACCCATAGGTAGTGTTTATTTGAATATTCACAACTGTTTTTTCAGAAAAACAACAAGTGTATGAGGTTCGAAACATATCACTTTTATGCATTTTACTATTCGAAATGTTGTTTACTACACGAAAAAATTATTTCGAATCCATTCGATGTTTTTTAAAGAATGTTCAACTCAATCTACCTACCGTACAAACGCATCGGAACAAAAAAAAATCCAAATATCTAACACCCTAACACATAATTGTGTATATTCACAGAAGTGAAATGCAAGCATGTTTTCTTCTATGGATGATTCTTTTGTACATCAATGACATAACAAGGCACACCATGCGTCTGAGTACACAATAGGTGCGATGTTATGCAATATTTATTTTTTCATGGATTTTTTTTCACTATATGCAGATTTGTAGATAGCATTGAAAATCTCAGTACGTGCTAACAATAATACTGGTGAATTGTACAACAAACAATTCTGCAATAAATCGAATAGAGAAATAGAGAGAAAATATCCGTAGTTTAAAAATTGTTCCCGATTCTATAGTTTACAACATCTTAAACATTTATATTGAAAATATTTGTTGAATTATTTTTAAATGACTGAATAATGAAAATCATGAAATTCGTTTCAATTTATTTCGAAATCTTAACTTGATATTTTAATTGGAACTCATTTTTTTTTGCAATTTATGTTATAGAAAAGTGATGAAGTTTCTTCAAACAATTTATTTATTAACGCCAGAGTAATGAAACGACAACAACAATAACACGCATTTTTTGCCGACAAAATTTCCACTCTAGATCGCCACGACATTGGTGTTTGTAGTTTGAACAACATCATCTAGTAGGTCGAAATTTGCATGTACCATCAATGTACATTATAATAGACACTAAAATATTTTCTCAATGTCCATCATAATGTACCCAACTTACTTTCAAACAACCACGAACCACCACCAGTGTCATGAAAATCTAACTCGTCAGTATGGGTTTCATTATTCTGATTAACACAAAATTATAATTAATAGAACAGACATTGAAAAATAGTAAAAAGTATATATAAAAATTTCATCAAAAAAGTACGAAGTGAATTGTATATCGATATTTTATTTTGCGACACATTGCATTTCTTTCAACTTCAAAACTTGAAGTGTTCAAGTGTTCCGGTCTATTCACTTCCCAAGCGTTATTATCGACGAAAATTAGTTTTTTTCGAATTTGTTTTCACCATTAATCTTATATTGAAAACTTTAACTTCGGATTTCGGGAAATTCAGATAATCATCAGAAAATTGAATGTTCCTTTTTGAAATAACACAAACGATTTAAATTGAAAATTCATACAGAGGTTAAAAATTACACGTGTATAAGGTGCTGTGAAAAAAAATAACACAAAATATTTCAAAATGAATATTAAAAAATTGAGCTAAGATTGTAAATATTCAGCAGCATTTTTAAGCAATTGGTAAAATGTATAAATCATTGTATGGAACACGAATATATGTATTTATAAGTGTACGACACTTTGATTTATCGCAACTGGTAAAAAATAACAAAATGTTTCTTTCATATCATTTAATTTCACTGATTTGTTATATGTTTTATTTTTGTAATACCTTTGTTATATCTACTGTGAAAAATTACGATAAAGAAATGAAACAGAAATTATTTGGGCATTTATTTAGCATGTTGATAAAAGCCACAAATATCATTAGCGCCGAAAAAATAAGTGCAACGGAAAACAGTGGCACCTAAATGCGCATTGCCATATACCTTTTGACACACATTCATATTGACGTGGCAGGTTGGTAACGATATTGTTATGCTTGTTTGCTTTTTTTGAATTACAAAAATGAGCATCGACATTTATGCACCGCTCAAAATGAGTTAATTAATTTTTTAAACGTTTTGTATTCGATAGCAATTCATGCGCGTTAATTTTTGAAATATGGATGTAAAACGCAGCAATATTCATTGGTGTTCACGATTCAAATGTAAAAATGTCCAAATCTCTTGTTTGGATAGATGTGTGTTTTTTAATTCAATGAAAAAAAAAGAAATTGTGGTTAAAATGAAGAGTAAACACCAAAACGTAGGTAAGCCAGTATGTATAAAATTTGTCGTTTTTCAAAAGTTCAGATAGGGGTGGTAAAAATATATATGACCATTGAACTTTTTCTGTGAATTGAAATGTATGAAAATACTGAATTTCAAAATTCATACCGTACTGTTGTTGAATTCTGCGGCTGAACTTTTCCACATTGCGTGAATTATTGTGTGAAAGACATATCGTTTGATATGTATAAAACACTTCTTTCAATGGATAAAATTTCTCGTCTACATGATATTGAATAATATACTGCTTCTGATGGACTTTATGGATGAGGGCCATATCCAATAAACGAACAGTCGAACACACATATATTTAACAATGAAACTTTAGGGCACACATGAGTGATGCATTGTGTTCTGAAACTGACCGTCGAACATGTATAGACAAGTTAAAACGGGTTCCGGATTGAGGCAATCAAAATTACTCTGTATCAATATCTTTTTACGAGTGACAGTGTAAATATTTTGTCACTGAGCTCGTGGTACAAGAGTACATAAAGATGACTTACAGTCCGTCAAGTATAAATGAATAAATTTCGTCACAAAATTAGAAACTTTGTTGTTGTAAATAATGTTTAAAATCAAAAATATTGTTCTTCGTATTTCGATTTCATTTCAAATTAAGATATTCAAATGAAGCGTACTGATAAATCTTCCTTCCAGCTCGCCGTTTTTTATTTCGATGTGCACTCCTCAAAAACCATTTTATTTGACAAATTCAATAGCAGTGATAAGTGTTTATCAAGTTCCATTTAACAGCTGCTCTTCGATAAAAAGAGGGTATAATCTGTATTTTCAGACTTGAGATTTTTAAAATCTGGGATATTGCCGGATTAACTGGCCAACTGTCTGATGATTACAATATTCTAATCCGCATAATCTTCTTTTGACTACAATTTCATATGTCAAAATGAGAGTTTTTCCCTATTTCTCTACATAAAATATTTCCATTGTTTACTTCATAAACCGTATTCAACACGCGAATTTATTTACATCTGAAAAATTGTGTAATAAATATATAGTACGGAAAAGTGTTTGAGAGTTGTTTTGCCTCCAATTTCAAATCCCAATTTTCAAGTGATATTTGGAAAACACTAAATTGCAAAACGTTTATTTTTATTTTAACTTTGTGTGGTTGTTAGTCATTGTCGTTTCAGAGAAAGCACAAGAGAGACGAAGAGAGAAGACACATTTTAAAACATTGTGCATTTAATTTCCGGTTGGGAAATTCTCGGTGGAATATCATTTAGAAATTTAAGCGTGCAAAATAATTTTGCATAAAATTATGTACATCAAAGTCTGTGACAAAATTTATACAATGAAGGCACCAAGTGTGATATTGTATACTGTTTTCAGATGTATACTGTATTCAGAGAAAATCATTGTCATGCACTCTACGGTGATGTCGTTTTTAATGGAACTTGATTCTGAAATCTGTACATTTTCCACATTTTCGCTGCCTTTAAAATTAATATTTATAACAACTTTATGAGTGCTCCTGTTGCCGTTGTTTGTATTATGCCAAGCACTAGAAATAACTGATATCAATGTTGAGAGAAATCACTTCAACATTCTAACATGACAACACCGACTATGCGTTAATTTCAAAGCATGCAAAATCAATAAAAAAGTACAAACACAGGCTACGTGGTACTAAGTGAAATATCATCATTTACTTAAAGTATTAAAAAAATACTATTTTAGAAATTTTATGACGCGATAATAAATTCATTTTCTCACGCGCGGCGGGTGACCCGCCCAATAAATTCTAGTGATCGTCAGCAATGCACCTCATTGTAATAATCGGCACAAATTGTACAATTTATGTACAATATTTATGTTTGCTGCGTGGAGGAATATTTGATGTTTTCGACATTTTAATTTTCTTTTGTGTCGGGCATTGCTCTAAATAAAATATCAAACGGAATATATAACGGGTTTGTTTTCAACAGTATCCTATTTAATGTACATATTTAGATTGGACCCTTTCGCACTTTCGAAAATTATTTTAACAAAATGTTAAATAGTGTTAAATAAATAACGTTCATTGGTGAACTTATTATTAAATTGTAAATTTATGCCAAATGGTGGCGCTACCATATAACAAAGAACAACATTAGAGCCAACGTCACTTCAGTATACTTGTCAGCTATGTATTACGCATATTACATTGTCTATCTGTCAAATACTGTTTCTTATACTTATTTTTAGTATTTTTTGGAAGCTTATCACCTTTGTTTATGGCTTAAAGTGGCATTTCAGTCTTTTTTGTCGTTTAATAATTACATTTTCTTGAGTTTTATTTGATTTGAACGTTTTTTCTCCAAATTATTGGTAAAATGGATAAACTGAAACGAGTATTGAGTGGAAACGATGATTCAACAAATGATGAAAATCGCGGTATAATGGGTGATGTGCGTGTCATACTTTTAACAATGAAATCATATACTTAATTAATATACGTGCCTGAAATAAAAAAAAATGGACATTTTCGAGACAATAGAACATGTTTGTAACATTTTGTTTATATTCTTAGATTGATGAGTTTGCTACACTCAGCTGGTCGACTCGCATCAAAATGTTTTGCTTTTGCTTTGTTATTGGAATCGTATTTTCATTGATGGGTTCACTTGTAATAATTCTACATTTGGGATACACTAGATTTGCTATATTTTACACTCTAGGAAATATAATCTCAATGGCCAGGTATGATATTATCGAAATGTGAACAATTCTTCAATGATAAATGAATGCTAAAATATTTTGTTCAAATGATTGTTCATTCATTGTATGTACTCTGGAATATCGTGACTCATCGCACGCAATGTCAACAGTACATGTTTTTTAGTTGGTCCGGTCAAGCAGATGAAAAATATGTTTGCAGAGAAACGGATAATAGCCACAATCATTGTTATCATTTCGTTTGTTTGCACTTTGATAGCAGCCATTTGGGTAATTGTTTTTTTATCGATTATGTTTTTTTTTATTCAAGCACAAATCGCTCACGTTTTTATTTAAAAAAAAAAGACAAATAATAACAAACAATACATTCATCATTTTTCTATTCGCAGTTGAAAAAAGGCTTACTGGCATTCGTATGCATTATCATTCAGTCGTTGGCCATGACCTGGTATTCCTTGTCGTACATTCCATACGCACGTGCGGCAGTTAAAAATGCGGTCAACACTTGCATTGCATAAAACCCAATTATTTGATGCTAATTCTTATTGAAAACACATCACAAAAATTGTCTAAACTTTAAAGTTTATGTAGATATTTCTTTTTCCGATTCGAAAATGCTTTAAACGATAATTTAGTGTTGACTGATGGGAAATGTAATCAGTATTTTAATGCATCTCTCTATATGAAAGTATTTATAACGTGATTGAATCTTTTTCTCCTTTTTTCATTTTTTTGGATAATATTCAATTATAAACGTTCTTTGAAGCATATTAATAAAATTCTCTTCCAAAATGTTCCTTCAATGTTTGGAATATCGATTTAGTTTATTAAAATACACAAACAAATGAAAACTGCACCCAATATACTTTGCACGACATTTTTGGGTATATTAATTACTATTACTGAATATAAACCGGGTTAATTACCCATCATAGAAAAAGATCCAAGCACATACAATTTAATGATGATGCAAACATCTTCGAAATATTTCGGAAATATATTTTTTAATTGAGAAATACTACACAAATAGATGGTTCTTAACGATTTTTGACATACCATGACAACTGTTCATGTGCATTTGAAATTCCAATCTCTCTATATTTTTTTCATTACAAAAGTATACATTTTTTCAAATGTAACAAATATCTAGGAAATAATAATAATAATAATAAAAATAATAATAAATGTCAACAAAAATTTACTCATGAAAAATTGAAAAAAAAAAAAAAAATCACATTCAGATGGGTGTGTCACTGAATAAACAAAATATGTTAATTGAAAATAAAGGAAACAAATTATACAAACCCTACGAAAGCAATTTGTTTCAGAATGAAATCGTTACAATAATCTTCACGACATCTACTTCATCTTGTATAGAGAAACAAAGTAGAATCACAAACATTTCCATGAATTTAAATTGTCATTTATGGTGTATGGATATACATCTGAATCCGACGAGAGACACAAGTCTCTTATGTAGGAAATCGAATCCGGAATTCAATTTGACGCTCCGAAAAGCACAGCGTATTTTTGTATAGATTTCTGAAGTGAATGTGATGGCGATGGCTCATGTGAATTATGTTCGCAGCATTTGGTGCCATTGTTCAAACAGTCAACAACGGTATTATTGTTTTTCATTTTCTGAACGTCATAAAAATGTGAATTTATTTGTTTGGATTGACACAATTGAAAATGGAGCGATTTAATATTTTTACCCGACCAATAAACACATACTTTTCAATGTTTTAATGTGAAAACATGTTATGTTGGCTTTTAGATTGGTATGCGTGCACTGAACACTTCAAGCAATTCACGATTCAATTCACTTGTAGTCATGTACTTAAAATGACTAATGATACACCATCATTTACGTATGCTCACACTTCATGCGAATATACTGAATGGAATTTCCAGCCGCAATCATATGTATATGAGGCAAAATTACGTATACGGTGCTGCAATGAATCGTCATCCATTTCAGCATATCCAATGTGATTGGATGTTTTTTTTTCTTCATACGGACACTCAGCGTGAAAGCCTGGTGTGAGAACATAAAATACCGACAAACGAGATGTCGCATCATTTTATACATACAAATGCATTTGCTGTGAGTTTAAGAGTCGACACTCAAGTTTGAGAAACACACAGGAAATCATCGATGAGGACCCTTTCTCTGCACACTGCACTAATAATCTCTGGAATTTAATAGAACTGCTAACATCATATATAGATAAAAGAAATAGCATAGGTTTTTTTTCTATATAACAATTCTGGTCAATTTGCAGTTGAATCGAACGATTCACATGATGAACTGAACAAATTACTCTCATTTTCACCATCGTTCGACTTCGTACTATATAACGGGCAAAGTGCTTTCCATTTACATGAATATTATCCCCAATACGATTCCCATTTACAATCAATTTCGACCGGACACATTACGATTGAACGCCACATTTTGAATTTTATATCCGCTACAGAAGTATGTATTTACTTATACTTAAAAATAAACATTTGATATGAATAAGGATCTCGAAGCATTCACCCACCGTATCTAAAAGAACGAATGCGTCACATTCAATTGTTTTACTATGTGTGTTCTTGATAATCTCGATTACTGTCATTCCGAAATTTATTAAGCAGAAACGTTGGTAACGTTATTCTTATTTTTTTTATTTGATGATAGAAGTTCGTTGATTGCCATGACATGGACGATTTTAATTTGTCGCAATCATTCGTAATAAAAATAAATCACCAAAAATGTGTTTGTTTTTGACGTTTTCAGTCGACACAAAATCCATACGCGAACACAAAATGTTTACATAGTTAATTTTAAATTGAGTGGTTGTCAATAAACCGCAGCACTCGAAACCGTTGCAGAATTAATATTAATATTCCAATGTGTTGTATGCATTGTAATTGTGTGTTCACCATGTATAACTGTATATATGGAATTTCATTCCATTTTGAACGTTTAATCGCATAATTGAATTTCCAATGCAAAAAGAAATACCTCGGATGGGACAAAGGCGCTGTTCGAGTTTGTTAGATACAACAACTGATGGTATATATCATTACATATGATTAATAAAGGTCACATTGAAGTGATCCGTTCAAAGGAAATGTATTATCGTACCAAGACTTGTAATAGCATTGCGAAAACGTGCATTGAAGCTCTATTGCCATTTAATACATCGACGTTTGTTGAAGTTCATGCTTCAAATCATAACACAAACTTTATATGTATCACGTCGTATGCGATTTTATACTGATGGTAAAATTTTGTGCTATGCACGTTTGCGTAAACTCGGATTAAATTCGATTCAATTTTCTCAGTGGTTTTATTCTCGGCTTTATCTAAAAGTGAAGCTTTCAACACTTTCATATTTTATAATGGATTTATGTTCGTTTCATAACTTCACTTCAATCATTACCGAACTAGGCTAAACCCCCCCAGTGAATTGATAAACAATACCGTAACAATACTTATTAAACAAACAACAAACAATACATGTGATTTTCTTACAATATCTGCATTTGCTGCAGCATGTGAGATATTTTATAGATACGCTTCATCCTTCAATATCTGCTACATTCTGTGAAACCGTTTAGTGCTGGTGTTGCTTTGTTGTTCTGTACAGTGAAATTTCCAATTATTTTAGTATATTTTTCATGAATAAAATATTGTGTACAAAGCTCAATTTTCTAACTATAATAATACTTACAAATTGCACATATACAGCAGAATTTTATCTAATATCAAGAGATTTTCATTATTCTGACAGTGTACATGCTGAAGTTCAAGCATATATGACGATTATTCAAATGAATATATCTAGTAATTTCAGTGAATTTTCATCTATAAGGAATCCATACACTTTTTCATTCAACATTTTTCAGGAGATCTAATTTCAGGATTTTTTATATTTATTTTCTCCAAACTAAGCTAACTTTGAAGGATTCATTTCAAATACATTTCGGTCGAACGCTTGTATATATTTTTTAATCAAATGAATTTATCAGATAAAACGAAATTTCTATTTTACTTCAAAACAGAAACATCGATGAAGTAAATCTATGTAAATGTCATGTCATGAAAAACATGATGGAAAATCAAAAACTCATATTGACCAAACTCCTTGGGATTCATGTTTTCTTGAATTTTCATACGATATGCGCTGAAAATGTCACAAAATTGAGCTTATTTATGGTGTACAATGTACAACATACATTGAATTCAAATGTTTTTGTATCAGCCCAAGATTCATTTGCCGAAATTGAAATATGTGAATATCACGGCATAGCAGTAGTCTCACATAGCGCTTGTAAAAGTGTATAACATAAAACACACACTCTCACACTTACGATTGGCAAAATCTGTTCGCGTCTGAACAGAAAACACCGTCATTATCGCTACCCGGCGATGGCCGAAGTCATCACAATGTTGGAGACTCCTTGAGTATTAATTTTCATCGTATTTAAGTGGTTTAACATCCAATTGACCTCCAATAAGCTCAGAAACAGACTCTTGACTCAGACTCCAAACAATATTATTATATGCATGTATATGAGCGACGTACTTTTTTTGAGTTTATGAAGTTTGCTTGGAAATTCGTTAAAAAATAAAGAAGGATAATTGCCGGTCTCATTTCAAAAGAATGCTCAGTCCCAGTGTTAAGTGTGAAGAGACCACTCAAAATGCGTAACCCCTTCTTGTATCGAGTATGTAAAAGAATTTCCAAATCATTAATAATTCAATTACTCAGATTAATAATTTCAGATTATTTGCAGAAAAATTGCCAAAGTTGTGGAAAAATGTTCCATTTCTGCCATTTTCGTTTTGCAAATAAATTATCATCAATATTAAGGGCAATTACGTGTCATAAATTGGAATCTCACAATTTATTTCAATCAAATGAAAATAAAATGCATTGATTTACGCCGTATTAAACATACAAATTGCAAATATCCTATTTACGATGGCCAAACGCTTCTAGTTTTTGAGATGTACGAATTTTTATTTCAGAAGCTAAAAATATCAATTCTCCATTGGTTTCTGATTTAGTTCACCATTTGTGAAATAATTTGATTCTGATCGTCGTAAAATCTTTTCATATTAATGCATCTTCTTTATATTTTTCGTGTCTCATAAATTCCACTCTATTTACTTGCACAGTTTGCGTTCAAACAGTTAACAGAAAGCTCTTTAGCAAATGGCTCGTTATTTGGATTCAGACGAATAAATAAATGCGGTATTGTATCATCACAACAGATTTGCAAACATCGAACATGTAAACTTTGAAATTTATTCAGTGCATCAAGAATCGTAAATGCATTAGCATCTCTAGTGTAACTTTTGTTTTTTGCAAACGTAAAGAAGAATATAGAATTGAATTAAATCGAAATCCCTTAAATCCAGGTTTAATTTCACCGCACACGAAAACATTTTCTCTTCAGATTTGTTGAGTGCTGTACACAAATTCAATACAAAATGTGAGTGAATGAAAGTAAATATCGTCTTTTGAGCAATTCATTTAAGTAAATTTAACAAAGATGTAAACATGTAATATAATTTCATGGTGCTATTCTCTATTTCAAAGAAATATATTGTTAATATTTTCTGAAATGTAATATAATGCTCGAGAATGTGTTGAAACGGTTGGTTATTCATAAACAATGTCTTTTGTCAAACAATTTATACGGAAAATATCGTTGATGAAATAATAAAAAGTACTTCGCTGTAAGTTGTTTGGAATTGAATTTTATATTTCATATTTCAAAGATATATATCCATCCGGGATGAGGATAAGGATAAATTTATTGAAACATGAAAAAAACACAAGCAGCAAATACGATAATTCATAAAATACCCGTGCTGATGAAAATTTTCTTTGGGTGTGATACTGACGGTATAAGTTTTCGTCTATTTGTCCATCAGGTCAATTGTTCTATTTACTATTTTCCGTTGCGATGCAATATTGGTTTTTGAAATTTGATATAAAAAATTCACAGTTTGTCATTAAAAATCTACCAATTGTGACTAGTTTCTTGTGTA